GACCAGGGAGGATGATTCAACCACTCAACCACTAGATGTCGGTGAAAACAACAAATCCTACACACTGTGCCTTTAAGTTTTAGGCTGAGTCATTTCTACCTTCTCCTCTCTGTCAACGCTCTCTGGTTTCATTTAAAAGAGTCGATCATCAGATATTGTCCAAGATTAACCTTCAGGGTGGATATAGCTCACTAGCAGCCTCGCACCGAGGACCTATCCACGTCATTATTTACCCAGAATGCTTTGTGTGTAAATAAAATGGCTCCGTCAGTGTTAAAATATATTTGAAAATTTTACAAAAATAAACAGAAGGTCTAATGTTACAACTGATCATGGATCCCTTTAAAATCTAGGCCTCTGGGTCATTTTGACCTCAGGGCAAAAGTAAAGTTAATGCGAAGGATTGAAAGTTCTGTGAGTTATTCTGTGGTCTACTTTAATTTTCAAAGCTTAAACCAAAAGAATCTGGATTTTTTTTTTTTTGTCTTTCAATAGGTCCTAATATCTGTACAGCAGTGTGAGAAGTTGAATTTCCAATCCAAGCCAGGTCAAGTAAGGAGTGAGATGTTAACCATAGAATCATCTAATATATTGTTTCATCAGTTAAAGTTATTAAAATTTTATGAGTTGGTTGAATWTCATATTCTGCAGGTTATGTATAAAGCTCATWAAAATGTGTTACCTTCAAACATCCTATCTAATTTTGTTAAAAGGGAAAGCTGTTATAATTTGAAGGGATTACAAATGTTTGTTAAACAAAAAAAAATTTAACAAATTTGAAGGACAGATGTATTTCAGTAAAATGTATAAGACTATGCAATAATCAGGAAAATGATTATAAAACCATTGGATCAGTTAATTCCTTTAAAAATGATCAAAGCAAAATTGTTAAAGAAATATGAAAATGTTTAATTTGAATTTGCAGGAGTCACTGTTTGAGGAGTTGAATTTTTGTTTTATTTGGTTTATTATTGTTTGAAATGAATATAATTTTTTGTTGTAAATAGGAGCAGATACAGCGGGTAAAATAAGTACTGAACACGTCATCATTTTTCTCAGTAAATATATTACTAGAGGTGCTAATGAC